GCCGCCATTTCTGTACACAGAAATAAAATGCCTCTCGGCGGTTCTGTGTGTTTTGTGCCTGTTTGTTTCAACAATACAAAGCGAGATCGAAATTTGTCATTTTATGCTTTCCCCAAGGACCCAAAAAAGAGAGGTATATGGATTGACAATATTGGACAAGCGGGAAATGAAGGCAAATTTAGTAAGTTCGAGCCCGCCAAGCATCACCGTGTGTGTAGTGCTCATTTTGAAGGAGGGAATAAATCGTATTTGGGTGGTAGACCAACTATATTTCCACTCAAGGAATCGAAGATTTGTAAGCCCCGAAGAAAATTTATTAGACATTTAACTGTTGATAACTCTGAGACAAATTTTAGTGAACCTGGCGGCAAGTGGGAAGTTGAACANGACAGTGACAGTGACGGCAACGCCAGCCACGACAGACGCAGGTGATGGCAATATGTACAGACACATCTGTACATATTTACTGTACTGTTTGAGAACAGTAAGTGACATGGTTTTTCTTAAATGGTCATCATGGGAGCAGTGCCCAAAATAAGTTTTTTTCAAATTTTGATGCAATATTACATAATGTTAAACAGCTTAATGACCATCAATTTTTAATAATAAAATATTAGTATCATGGATATTCAGAAAATGTGACTAGCAAAGGTCTTCAGGCCCATGGAACTTCAAAGTCACAACTTGAAAATGCCAAAATGTAAACAAGACAGCACTGTTCTGAAATGTTTTTTTTCCATTTTTAACAATTTTTTTAACATAAACAAAATTAACAGGTTACTGCCATTTTTATACGATCAACTAAGAAAATTGATGAGATGGGAAAAATATCAATACAACAGTGTTAAATGTCCAATTTCCTCCATCCTGAGATTCTGAACATAGTGAATGATTGCATCTGACAAACTGCAATGATATGAGTTTATTTCCATTTTTGACACTTTATTACACAATACACGATAACAAGTTTACCATCATTTTTACATAATCAACTAACAATGTTGTAAAGATTCAGGAAATGTCAAACAAACACTTTTATGTATCTTATTAGTAAAATAATAAGACTGTTAACATGCCTAAGAATTGAATCTGAGGAAATGTGAAAAAACAGCATAACTTCTAAAGTAATGGCCCGATCATGCCGATTTTCGAACTTGACCTGCGTTTTAGTAAGATTGATTACTCCTGTGAGTTTCATGACAACAGGCCTAACGGTGTTCCTTAAAATGTGTTTACAGGGTTGCATATATGCTGAAAAGTGAAACAAGGCAGCAAAGCTGTCAAATGTACAGACAAAAAACAGGAAATAACTATGCACAAAATAGGCTACTGTCAATTCTGATGCAAAGTACATTATGTTAAACTGCAAATTCAACATCAAATTTCAATGATTGAATCTGACAAACTGCAATGAAAGGAGTTTATTTCCATTTTTGAAAGTTTATTACACAATACACTATAACAAGTTTACCATCATTTTTACATAATCAACTAATAATGTTGTAAAGATGCAGGAAATGCCAAACAAACACTTTTACGTATCTTATTAATTAAATAATGAAACTGTTAACATGCCTAAGAATTAAATCTGAGGAAATGTGAAAAAACGTCATTTCTTTAATGGTCCGATTATGCTGATTTTTTTAACTCAACCTGTGTCTTAGCAGGAATGACCACTCCTGTGAGTTTAATGACAATTGGCCTATCTGTTTTTCTTATATTGTGTTTACAGTGTTGCACATATGCTGAAAAGTGAAAAAAAAGCATAACTACTCAAAAAGTGGCCCGATCATGCCGATTTTCGAACTTGACCTGCGTTATAATAAGATTGATTACTCCTGTGAGTTTCATGACAACAGGCCTTTCAGTTTTCCTTGAAATGTGTTTACAGTGTTGCATATATGCTGAAAAGTGAAAAAACAGCATAACTTCTACAAAAATGGCTCGATCATGCTGATTTTTAAACTTGACCTGCGTTTTATGAATATTCATCAGCTCTGTAAATATACAGCCAAAAAGTAAAACTGTCTTCCACTTATTGTGTTTACACTGAAAGTGCACGTCACCGGCATCAGTGACAGTGACGGCGACGACGGCAGATGCAGGTGATGGCAATATGTACAGACACATTTGTACATATTTACTGTACTGTTTGAGAACAGTAAGTGACATTATTTTTCTTAAATTGTCATCATGGGAGCAGTGCCCAAAATAGTTTTTTTTTTTAATTTTGATGCAATATTACATAATGTTTAACAGCATAATGACCATCAATTTTAATAATAAAATATTAGTATCATGGATATTCAGAAAATGTGACTAGCAAAGATCTTCAGGCCCATGGAACTTCAAAGTCACAACTTGAAAATGCCAAAATGTAAACAAGAGAGCACTGTTCTGAAATGTTTTTTTTCTCCATTTTTAACAATTTTTTTAAACATAAAACAAAATTAACAGGTTACTGCCATTTTTATATCATCAACTAAGAAAATTGATGAGATGGGAAAAATATCAATAGAGCAGTGTTAAATGTCCAATTTCCTCCATTCTGAGATTCTGAACATAGTGAATGATTGAATCTGACAAACTGCAATGATATGAGTTTTTTTCCATTTTTGAATCTTTATTACACAATACACGATAACAAGTTTACCATCAGTTTTACATAATCAACTAATAATGTTGTAAAGATGCAGGAAATGTCAACCAAACACTTTAACATGTCTTATTAGTTAAATAATGAGACTGTTAACATGCCTAAGAATTGAATATGAGGAAATGTGAAACAAGACAGCACTGTTCTGACATGGGTTTATTTCCAATTTTAACACTTTTTAAACATAAAACAAAATAAACAGTTTAATGCCATTTTTATATGATCAACTAAGAAAATTGATGAGATGGGAAAAGTATCAATAGAATAATGTTAAATGTCCAATTTCCTCCATTCTGAGATTCTGAACATAGTGGATGATTGAATCTGACAAACTGCAATGATATGAATTTATTTCCATTTTTGACACTTTATTACATAATACACTATAACAAGTTTACCATCATTTTCACATGATCAACTAACAATGTTGTAAAGATGCAGGAAATATCAAACAAACACTTTTACGTATCTTATTAGTTCAATAATGAGACTGTTAACATGCCTAAGAATTAAATCTGAGGAAATGTGAAAAAACAACATAACTTCTAAAATAATGCCTCGATTATGCTGATTTTCGAACTCAGCCTGCGTTTTAGTAAGATTGACCATTCCTGTGAGTTTAATGACAATTGGCCTATCTGTTTTTCTTATATTGTGTTTACAGTGTTGCATATATGCTGAAAAATGAAAAAAACAGCATAACTACTAAAATAGTGGCCCGATCATGCCGATTTTCGAACTTGACCTGCGTTTTAATAAGATTGATTACTCCTGTGAGTTTCATGACAAAAGGTCTAATGGTTTTCCTTAAAATGTGTTTACAGGGTTGCATATATGCTGAAAAGTGAAAAAACAGCATAACTTCTACAATAATGGCCCGATCATGCTGATTTTCGAACTTGACCTGCGTTTTATGAATATTCATCAGCTCTGTAAATATTAAGACAAAAAGTAAAACTGCCCTCCACTTATCGTGTTTACAAGGAAAGTGCACGGCGCCGGCGACGGCATCGGCATCGCCATTGGCATCGCCATCGGCGACGGCGACGACAGACGCAGGTGATGGCAATATGTACAGACACATCTGTGTCTGTACATAATAATAATAATGATGATGATGATAATGAACCTATTTGAAGTCTAAAATCTGTGAATAGTCATTCTATGTCGGAGAGTGTCTCCGTTTTGTCCTATATAGTTCCCACCGCATCCACTGCAAGTCAATACATAAATTAAATTTAAGCTAGTGCAGGAGAATGTTTCTATTCAAGGGCCATCATTAGAGGAATTCAACGCAAACAGGGCTCTGCACCTGTCGTCACAGAGGTCAAGGAGGCCCGAATTTGAAAATTAACCTGTCAGACTCATTGTGTCAGGTACCACTGTCAGGATTGCCAATCCACTTGTTCATGGATTTAGAAAAAAATAAATAACTCAAAGATGACAAAATTAACACAATTGATTTTTTTATACATCAGTAAAATGTAATGATAAAAATTTGCATATCCAGTGGTTCAAAATTTTTCGTTAATAATGGGCAAGTTGAGGCAGAGAAAGGGCAAGTAAAACAAGACAGCACAGTTCTGAAATGGGTTTATTTCCATTTTTAACAATTTTTAACATAGAACAAAATTAACAGTTAACTGCCATTTTTATATGATCAACTAAGAAAATTGATGAGATGGGAAAAATATCAATAGAATAGTGTCAAATGTCCAATTTCCTCCATTCTGAGATTCTGAACATAGTGAATGATTCAATCTGACAAACTGCAATGATATGAGTTTATTTCCATTTTTGAAACTTTATTACACAATACACAATAACAAGTTTAACATCATTTTTACAAAATCAACTAACAATGTAGTAAAGATGCAGGAAATGTCAAAAAAACACTTTTACATATCTTATTAATTAAATAATGAAACTGTAAACATGCCTAAGAATTGAATCTAAGGAAATGTAAAAAACAGCATAACTTCTAAAATAATGGCCTGATTATGCTGATTTTTNCAAAAGGTAAAATGGTTTTCCACTTATCGTGTTATCAGTGCTGCATATATGCTGAAAAAAGTGAAAAAACAGCATAACTACCCTAAAAATGGCCCGATCATGCTGATTTTCGAACTTGACCTGCGTATTATGAATGTTCATCAGTTCTGTAAGTTTCAAGCCAAAAGGTAAAATGGTTTTCCACTTATCGTGTTATCAGTGCTGCATATATGCTGAAAAAAGTGAAAAAACAGCATAACTACCCTAAAAATGGCCCGATCATGCTGATTTTCGAACTTGACCTGCGTATTATGAATATTCATCAATTCTGTAAGTTTCAAGCCAAAAGAAAAAACGGTTTTCCACTTATCGTGTTATCGGTAAAAGTGCACAGCGACGACATCTGTGTCTGTACATAAAAACATATCTGGGCATCAACAAGTTGGTTATTCCTCCACGAGTAATTGGCTGATATGTTTAGCTCGATGGCCTTTTCCTGAGGAATACTTTCCTAATGAAGGTCATGGTATTGTCTGAAAACTTCAGATTCAGTAGCTTGTCTTGGAGTGCTGACTGACCTTGCTATAAAAGTGAAATAAAAACATGATGAAATCTAATATTAAAACAGCCACTACAATGTGTTAAATATGAACTTATCAAGATAAAATTATTCTTTATCTAAGTCACTGGAACAGCAGTTGGAGTCTTAGAAAATTTTAGTTTTCTATCAAATTTCTAACTTTATTTTTAACCTTTATTTTACAAGGCTAAACAGTGTTTGTAAATATAAAAATATCCAAAGGATAAAAAGTGGCTTACGCTGAAATTTTTTATCTCAGAACTCGATATAATTACCTCAGTAAAATTAACAGAATTTTTAAAAGCCCTGGAAGTTGACTAAGAATAAAACAGACTTGATTTTCAGCTTTAAAAAATTAGTTATTTCAAACTAGCCCATACCTTCTGTGTCTGACTTTCATTTGACCTGGTTTCTGTCATTTCAGCAGACGACACTAGTCTTTGTCCAAATTCCAGAGAGCTCTCATCTCCTTCCTGCATGCTGTCCATCTTTTGCTGCTCCGATCTTTGTTTACTATGCAGCTCATCTCTCTTTCTTTTGATATATTCTCCAACTGTTACAACTGCAGAGGTGACATTGTCATTCGTATCACTTGTACTTTGCACCAGTGGATCTTGCTCTGAGTCAGACTTTGATTTCAGCTCATTTAATTGCACACTGTCGAAAGTACTTTTGGGCAAATGATGGTATTCCTTTTGCAAAGCTCCAACAAACTCTGGACTATATTCCCCAATGAGTATGACATCATTATCTTCACTATGTTCAGAAGTGTGCACAACATCATCTTGCTGTTGTTGGTCTGGCAGAGATTTTACTGGGGTGCTGGCTTTACAGCTCAAGTGTCTCCTCACAAAGTTTGTATTGAAATCGTCAAACTGTGTATCAGAAACAGTGCTATCCACGACTCTGTTCATACTATTACTATGTACACTATCCACATCAGTGCAACTGGAAATGCCTGTACTTTTCAGTGTTTGGGATCTGGTAGTGTGTGCATCTTCAACAAAAACAACAGAATTGTTGGTGTCATCAATAATATATTCACTGTTGTTTTCTTTGCCTTCCAAAACAGAAACTCCATTACAGGATGTCTGACCCAGAATTGCACAACTGGAATTGCCTGTACTGTTCACAAACTGCTCTCCACTACCATGTGTGCCTCTGCCACTTGTGATGGGTGGATTTTCTGATACATTCCTGTTACCAGGTGGCAGATTATTCTGACTCAACAACTGTGCCCTTCCCAACAAGCTTTTAGGAATTGTGCCAGCTTGAATTTCTTTACTGGAAGACATTTCTACATGTTTATCATCATCTCCCATAAGAGGTCCTGGGTCCATAGTAAACAGCTTTCTCCCCTTCTTTTTACCTTTATTTTCATGTTTTGTTTTGGTATTGTACAGTGCACTAGGGTCTCTATACTTTAACATGCCAGCCACACCTTTCTTTTGTCTCTGAGAGGGGGCACCTTGTGCCTCAGTCTGTGTTGGGATGGCACTGGGATAGACTTGGGATGGGTCACGGCTGGATTTAGTCTGGGATTGGCTCTCAGTCTGAGACGGTTTTACTGGAACCTGGGATGTCTCTGTATGGCATTGAGCCATTAATGCCTCAGCTCTATTACTGATGTTACCCTCAACAACCAAAACACCTGAAGTTTCCACCTGTGGTCCAACAGACAATGTTCCAGGGGTTCTTAATTTTTCTAATCTATTTTCTTCCTCTTCTTCTTCCTCGTTATTCCTCAACAAAGGACTACCATGGTTTTCCTCTTCTGATCCACTAGAAATAACAATGTATTTCTGTCCAACCAGGCGCTGGGATTTTCCATCATGTGAGTGCGACTGAGCCTCTGCCTCGCTGTCATCAGAAGAAAACAGCCGTTCTCCGCTGTATTCGGCAGAATGTAGCATGTCGTTCAATCTCTTGGCTTCTTCATCATCTGAGACTCTCAAAGGGGACGGCAGAAAATGTGGTCTGGTTTCGTCTAAAATTAAGGTGAATACAATTTATGAAGGAAAGAGGAAAGCAATTACGAAACAAGAATCAATATTAATTATTAATAAACAATTTTCTGTTGAGCTCAAAATTGCACTAAAAATTTATAGTCATATTCACTTTAAATCATACATTCTACAGAAAAATGACAGCAGAGTTTATCCCAAATAACACAGACTGGGCCAACTGCACTGACACTCTATGGTCTGGGAATATTATCTTCAAAAGCAAGACAAAGGTGACACGAAAATTGGTGATTTGGTGCTGTTGTGTTACAAACAATTTTTGGACAGAATTCAAAAGGAAACAACCAGACAAAATGTCCAAGGATAAATTCTGCTTTTTTTTCAGTACTGCACAGACAAGTCTACCATCTATGAACCCTGAACCTAAATTTTGTTTTAATCCATATAACAAAAAATAAAATACTAAAAACATAATACTGGTCCACAGTTTGGAATGTCTCAATAAACCCTAGAGATACCTGTGTCTCCATATAACAGTGTTGACTGATAAACTACAGTCTCATCATGAAGTTCCTTCTCATTCATAACCTGATCCCTCATCTCTTGACCTTGACCTTCTTCACCCTGACCTTGACCTACTTCACCCTGACCTTGACCTTTCTCACCCTGACCTTGACCTATATCTTGAGGACTTGGGTCTTGTGAAGGATGTCCCTCAAAGGAAAAGACCACTTTGTCCATGTATTCCCCCACATCAGCTCCCAGCATAGCCTGGAACATAGTGTAAAGATAATGAGAAATGAACAGAATTCATTTAAATCAATGCCAATGTTCATTATACTTAACTAAGGTTTAGATGGCTTAGATAAAAGAATGAGAAGTTCTACCATGTGGATTTCTTTATAACGGATTTCCCAAACATAGTTTATAAATTGAGATAAAAAAAATTCATAGTTTAGAATTCATAGTTTGAAACAAGAAAAATAGTCCAGGTTTTTTTCCCCTTTTTTCAGGTATAGATAAAGAAATATTTTATGATTATAAACAGCATGACATGTCAATGCCATATTCCATAAAATATGCTTACTTCTGGTGATTGTTCTTGTCCGTCTCCTATGTGAGATGTCTGAATAATATGCATTTCTCTTTCACCATCATCTAAACATTTTTTCTTAAGAGCTTCATGCTGATTGGACACGATGGCAACATCAGCGCCATCTGTTGACAACTTTTCTTCTAATTCAATCCCAGAGGTCATTCTTCCCTTCTTCTTCAACCTGTTCCCTCCAGTATCATCTTCATCAGGACTCTCATCTTGACAACCTGCTTTTCTCTTTCTGCAAACACCATCGCCCACATCCTGAGCACCACCCTGATCAGACTGCGCCTCTGGTCTTTCTCCGTCCTCTGTCACATCAGGTGGTTCACTCACAGCGCCCTCTATCTGGACACCTCTCAGTGGGGAGCTAGCAGACGTAGTGTGGTGAGAAGGAGATGTACGAGGATGAAAACCAGGCTGCCATTCTGGAAATGAGAAGATAAACACGTTCAATGATCAAACTTAGCAGCTGCCACTACTATTGGTGTCATTGGTAGTATATGCTCACAAAGTAATACTTTATATGTTTTTCAGAGTGCTGACTGAAGATGTCGGAGAGGGATGACACTGTAATTTATTGAAAAAATCTGAAAATATGGCATGGGGCCCTGTGCATTCATCACAAATTTGACGTTCTTGGCTTCCATAAAGTCAAAACTAGGCTGATAGTCGGAAAAATCTCATTACTGGTTACACTGACAATGAAACATATCTGTATCATAAAAAATATTACTTTTATCACTAGGAAATGTTGCACAATTCAGAGCCTGTCATGTGTGTTGCACACTCACCTTTCAACCTGTCTAAACATGCCTGTCCTGCCTCACTGATGATAAACTCTCCCATGCTGAATACACTGTTCAGTTGTACTGGAAGATCTGGAGTTGACACAGCCGCAAGTGAAGATTTTTCATGCTCAGCAGGGTTCAGAGGCAGGACATCCTTGGATTGTAATCCACTTTCTTCTTGAACCACTGGAACATTTTCTGAACCAGATTGCACATTGCTTGAGCCTTGTGGGGCATCCAGGACATGTTCAGAACCTAGTGAGATAATCTCAGAATCCAGTGAGGCAACCACTTGCCCTGATGATGATTTTTTGTCCACTGTTTTAAGGTTTTGGAAAACTGGCTCTGCAGCCAGGAAATAGTGGATGTTGAAGTCACTGGTCAGTTGTACAGGAAGCTCTTGACTATGATGACCATCTCCAGCTCCCAAGGTCACTCCAGGGTCAAGGGTCACTCCAAGGTCAGAGGTCACAAACTTGGATTGTAATCGACTTTCTTTTTGAACCACTAGTACATTTTCTGAACCAGACTGCACAATGCTTGAACCTTGTGGGACATCCCCTGTATTTACTGGGGCATCCCCAATGTCCAGTGGGATATTCGGTGCCTCTTCAGAACCTAGTGGGGTAATCCCAGAGTCTGGTGGGACAGCCACTAGGTTTGATGATAAATTTTTCTTCACTGTTTCAAGGAGCTGGAAAACTGGCTCAGCAGCTAGATAATAGTGGATGTTGAAGTCACTGGTCAGTTGAACAGGAAGCTCTTGACTATGATGTCCATCTCCAGCTCCCAATGTCATGCCAGGGTCAAGGGTCACTCCAAGGGGCCCAGAAGTCACTGTGTGGTGAATATGGTCGTCTGGCTTTCTGCCCAGGCCTTGATGGAGAAGGATATGAAAAAGAAAACAAAAATGGTATTCTCAATTTACTGTATAGCAAAAGACTTAACATGTTATAAATTAAATCTTCATCACCCAGCAGACATGAGGTATAACTGGGTGTGTGGATCAAAGGTAATCCTTTGCACACATCACATCCCATAATATGAGAATATGTTTACCATTTTTAGGATCAGTAATGGTAGCATCAGACTCTGGTTCTTCAATATGTGGAATAGGTGCATCTCTGGACAGGTTGGACTGCTTTGCTTCTCTACATTGTGTTAGTTGTGACGGCATTGTCCAAGATTGTGTTAGTTGTGACAACCCACATTGTGTTAGCAGTCTCTGTGAACCTGGCTGTGTAAACTGTCCCATGAGCTCAGACAGTGCTGCATTTTCCTCGTTCCAACACTGTCGAGTTTTTTCTGATCTGTTTGCCCTAAAAAGTCAGTGGAGACGTATTTTAATAGTGACTCATAGAGACTTAGAAGTGACCTGTGGGTGGGGGTGGGGGTGCAGAATGAGTCCCTGCATTGTACACCCCATAAAAACTTCTACACACTCCATAAAAACTTTATCTGGGAACATGTTTCCTTTCATCCACAGACCTATCAGATTTAGACATACCAAAAGAGGCTAAACCAATAAATTTGCCAAAAATCTTTATTTAATTACTTCAGCTAAGTAAATATTAATGATTTGATGAAAAAGAAATATTTTGCTAGTTTCAATACATGTGCACATCACCACTCAATATCACTCAATAAACCTCTTACTTCCACTGTATCCAACCTTTCTCCAATTTTTGCCTGACCTCCGGAACAGTATTACTGAAAAGAAATCCATACAAACATCTTTTTTAAAAATCAATTATCTCATTATTAAATGCAAAGCATTAATTATATTACGTTTTTTTCGTCTTTTTCTCTTCGATTTCTAGCAATACTCCCCAGGCATATCTTCAAGAAACCTACGCATATAGCTGCGACACAAACAAACCATTGATGCAAAAGTTGACAGACACTTCAAAATAATAAAACATATAACAAAGTCTCACCACAATATTCCAGGATTTTTACGGTAATGTCCAGGCAGACAGGTCCAAAATTTAAGCTCTGTCACTACCAGGAAAAACTCTGAATTTTCCTGGAATTCAAAGGAAAAATCTAAATACTTACACATATACACAGTGTTACACAAAAGTTGGTAAACACTATTTTTAATAATTATAAAATAGCCTTATGATCTAAGTTAAACATTTAACCCAATATTGATGGATAAGGCACCAAACATTTGTTACTATTTTATGTACACTGAAGATTTTCCCATTTCATTTCACAGGTTTTAATTACTGAAAAACAATTTTATGTTTCCAAACTTTTTTGGTTGGGTGTATAAACTAAAAATTTCATTAAAACAACCAAAAACCTGACAAATATACCCGAAGACACCCTTGGATCCGATGTAGTTTCAAGTGAACGGTAAAAGTTAACACTGAGGCTTAGTGGAAAATAACAGAAATTGCACCATCAAATGATCAGTTGTAATTCTGTGCCAAAGACAGCTGCCTCAACCCTTCATAATACATGAAAGTTTACTAAAAATAAGTTTTTAATAAGGGAAAGATGACCCTTGCATATTACCTTAATGTCAGAGTAAACCACACTGAAGTGATACTTCCTTGCTATTATCTTAGAACAATGAAAATATTCTTCAGAATATCTTTCTTCCCTGTAACAAGAATAACAGGAATATTATCCATTATCACAATGAAATCATTTTCTCATCATCTTGTTAAATTAAAAATTTTAATATATTTATCAACCTAATTATTTATCTATTTACTTTTTTATCTATTTATATTAATCAAATTTTGTGTTTAATGAGTTGACTGCCTTTTTTGTGACAGTGATTCTGTACAAATAAAGCTAAAAACAAGACACAAACTACACATATTCAAATAAGTCCATATAATTTTCTACAAGTTGACTCTTTGCAAGGACATCATACAGTATCCTTCCTCACTTTGACAATTTTTCCCCCAAATTAAATTTTTTGTTGCATAAACTTTTACCATTTTTTTCATAAATCTAAAATAAAGGGGAGTGGGCGAGTCCTTACTTCTTTTAGACAAAAACATAGAGAGATGAAAATAATACAATTAATTTTTTATGCGAAAAAATTCTAATGATTAAAAGACAGTAGTCCAGCAACTTTGGGCTCTTTCCCATTAAAACTATCGGTCTATGTAGATTGATCCAACATTGCAGGACTCTTGCTGAATACAATCAGTTTAAGAGATTAACATCCCTCTTCCTGGCGTTGAGCAGAACACAAAAAAGCAGGTGATTATACAAGAACGTTGGAAGCATGAGGACGAGCGTTAATCTGATAATCTGATTATATTCACTGAGAGTCCACAAGGAGTTGGATTGATCTATATAGACTGACTGAGAGTGAGCCGTATAACAGTCCCCTACTCTTGGAACTCCTTCAGAGCTTCCTGTGTTAAGACTGCCTTGATGTCCCACTTGCCATCTGTGACCAACACAACAATGCTACCGTCTGGACACGGACCTTCTTCTTTCTAAAATTATACAAAAATAAATTCATTTTAATATTTGGCTTAAAATGCAGCACCCCTGACCCAGATAAAGCAGTTGCAAGCTACTTAATCCATATATAAAATAACCAATTTGTCTTTCTAGCAAAAATACTGAAAAGAAAAATCTGGGGTAGAGCTATCACTCGCCAATTTAGCCAGATACTAAAAGTGACTTGAGTTGACTAAACAAAAATGGTTAATTTGACTTGTTTAAGTCAACTTCAAACCATCTGGAAAAAAGGTGATGAAAAGTATTGATTTAGCTAAGAGGAAAAAATGCCAGCACTACCCCAGAAAATGCTACCTAGTGGTACACACCAATTATTTATAGGTAGTTTAATAAAGTAACTTTCCATGTACGAATATGTATAATGTAGGCTGTTACAACTAAAGAAGTTAAATCCATCAAGTATGAGAGATAACTTCTATAGCAGAAATGTGAAGAGATAATGAGTGGGGAGGGGAGATAGAGAGAGAGAGAGAGAGGGGGGGGGGGAGAGAGAAAAAGAGAAGTCTACTTTCATTTCAATTTCACTCCCCGAGGGGAGTGGGCCGATCCTGGAGGTACTGCAATACCAGGCCAACCCGTGGCAGGGGTGGAGCAAGCTCCTGACGCCCCGCCCAGTTCCAAAAATCAGTTTAATATCGAAGTCCCCTGTAGGGGACGTATCAGATATTAAGCTGATAAGAACAGATACTACACTTTGATCTTAGCCAAAAGGCCGAGAAGCGATACAGGCCACTATTATCCACAGTCTAATATCTGACCGTTAGACGGCTTTTAGAGTGGTGGCAATACATGGGGCATTTCAATTATACGATAGCTTATTAATTCAACCTAGCAGTAAATATCTCAACTGATTACTTGCATATTAAAACATGAAAAAAATTTGTAATTTAAAAATTATTGTGATCAATCTGTCAAATTATAAAACAGTCAAAAAAGCCATATTTTTTCAAATTGACAGGTATATCCTTATTTGGAACATACGCCTCAATTCACATGTTAACAAATCAGCCAATCAGAGGCCAGGTATAATTCCTAATCCCTGTGCAATGTTTGTGCATGTGACTGCTCTCAGAGTTAGGCAGAATGTCAGGTGTTTATGTGCTGTATGAAAGCTGTTGTTATTTGCATTGAAAATAATCATATTTATACCTTATTCCAAACATAAAGTAACACCACCACAGTCTTATCATGTCAAATGCTAGATGTGTTTCAGTCTATCACCTCAAATTGCTGGTAAACATACCAGTATTGATAGTGTGCAACTATCATGGCTATGTAGATATCACACCTAAACAATAAGCTACCATCGCTTGGCTTAAATCCAACAAGGGGTTTATTTAAAAACAAAAAAATACTGACAAATCTGATTTTGAATTGAATGATAAAATTCAAAGGACTCACATATATACTAATTTCCCTCCAATATATATGTATGATATACATAACAATACTGGGAAGTTACTATTTTATATATACTGAGTATAAGTCAATCAATATGTATAGTCTATTTGTTTGGGAATATATTTCAATTAAACAAATGATAGTGCATGTAATAATTGAAAGAAACACATATAATAATAGAAGAGGTTTTCTCCATCAATGTAACAGAACAATGGAAACACTTGATCATGACTACAGCTAGGGGATAATATAGCGAGGGCATGAGTGTAGAGGGTACTATGTGGTACAAATACTATGTATGTACCTTCACAATTTGTAGAAAACGTGGTTCTTTGTTAGATACAGGAGACGACACATCATAATCAAGTATTTCTGGTAAAATCCATGGTTTCTGTAATCTTCCATTATGCCACATTTTACTGCAAGTCTTAGTATTCCAAAGTGTGAAACAGTCAAAGTTCACGTTATCTCTGACTGCTGAGTAATTTGCGTTGACAATCAAAGGTGTCAGTTATCCCACGGCATCTAATTCTGTCCAAATCAGTCTACTCCAAACATTGAATATCATGTGCAAATGCTACTCAATCAGGTCGTTGCACCTGGCAAACACACTGAGGACATTTCCTTCACCGATTCAGACCTCACGTTTGGTCAGTAACAGCATGTATCATGATCTTCTCCCATTTTTCATACTCCATGAGGATTTAAGTTAATGTCTTTAAAACAATGTCAGTAGGAATACATTATTTACATCTATTTCAGCGCCTTCAATGATCTCAGAGATCAAATCGACCGCTCGACAGTCAACAAGTTCCCATTATTGATGACGTCACCGATACATGCGGACACATTGTAAACACCAATTTGTGAAGTTCTTCTCCTCTCATTTATTGCACACGGAGGATTTTTCTGTGATTGAGTAATGTTAATAAATTCCCCACACCTTTCCGATGCTGAGTAAATCTATTAAATCTACAGGAATCTAAGTTGTGACTCACTTAATTATTGTTATCGAAAGCGAGGCTAGTTGATTGATGTCATCGTCGGTTGTGCACTTGTTCAAGGGAGAGGCACCCTCGGAACTTGAGGGAGAAGAATTCATGTGTTAGGAATTAATTAAGCCTTTACATAAGGCTGAAGCAACAATCATGTCGAAGAACGCAAAGGCATTTAATCACGTGGATCCTAATATTATAGAAGTGAAAAGCAAGGTAAGCGAAGTGGTTCGATTTGAAATCTACAATTGGTATCTGTGTCGAGTTATGTGACCCAGTTCCCAACATGCCGCTCGTGCACTGCGTTTCGGACCACGGGTACCATCTGTGATTTTGACCGCCTCCACGAAGGCGTTTTTATAAAAGCTTCCCAGTATTTTGTCTTTTAAGCGCTGGTTTAACCTTAAAAGCCACTCAGTATCGGCTCTGTTTGATGAGTAAGCTCTTAGAGAACTGTTGTTTTGGAAAATTGTCACCTAACAAGAGAACCAAAGAAAAGGCAAAAATCAGTCACCGTGGGGTGACAAGCAGTAGTTCCTACAAAGACTTTGCCATAACTTTTTATTATGCTGTCAAAATTATTCACAGATTATAAATATACTCCAGTTCAAGACTAGTGCATGTCCGACCGTCTGTAAAATACACTCACAGAGAGAACCACAAGTTTATAGAAGTAAATCACCTCTAAACTAACACAGACCACCATTTGTTTCTTTTTTCGTTCACCCAAACTGAGTTTGAGTTGATAGCAAATTAATTAGAATCCCAAGTGGGTGCTAATCAGTCATGCGGTAAATGGAAAATCTATGAAGTCTAGGCAGGTGCTTGGAAGCAACCACATCAATTTATCCTGTGGTTGTTGGTATATGGTAATACCAGCTATGTGGTGTGATATGGACAGAATATACCAGAGGCTGAATCATTGAGAACAGGTGAAGAGACCAGTTTAATAATTTCTGTCAGGTGGGAGATAACCTAATTTATCATTGAATTCCAGTGTTTCTCGTGATAAGTTAGGATCGATAGGTAGCCTTGAGTATTTCATGATTACACTCCATTCTTATTGATAGTTGTAATGTACTGGCATTTTTTGTTCTAGTTCTGCATTGTCTTAAACAAAATTTCTTTCCATTTGTAATCAAGTTAACACTTTGCTTTTAACTCAGTGGGTTTGCTCTTGCAATTTTTTTTTTAATTAGCCAAATATTTGGTTACTAGTATTTGGTTATCGTATGAAACAATGGTGCAACAACAGTAAAAAAAAAAAATAATAATAATAAAAGAAAAAGAAAATAAGATAAAAACAGGGATGATGTATCAGTGCTGCACTCATCTGGTTGTTATGAGTAAGGTGCCCCTGTCCGTTTTCACCACCAGATTCTCAGGGTGTGGGGTAGTGTTATAACAGGTTGGCTTCTGTGTTACCAGTCAGGTACTCTGGACTGTTTTCACCACCAGATTCTCAGGGTGTGGGGTAGTGTTTTAACAGGTTGGTTTCTGTGTTACCAGTCATGTTCTCTGGACTGTTTTCACCACCAGATTCTCAGGGTGTGGGGTAGTGTTATAACAGGTTGGACTCTGTGTTACCAGTCAGGTACTCTGGACTGTTTTCACCACCAGATTCTCAGGGTGTGGGGTAGTGTTATAACAGGTTGGCTTCTGTGTTACCAGTCAGGTTCTCTGGACTGTTTTCACCACCAGATTCTCAGGGTGTGGGGTAGTGTTATAACAGGTTGACTTCTGTGTTGCCCTCATGTGTGTGTGAGCTGTAAACCATGTGGAGAGCAACCAGAGGTAAAAACATGTACATCTGGATAGAGTACAGATGGCGATCTGGCAGAAAACTGTGTGGGTTTTCTCTAAATAGTTTCTACATCTTGTTATAGTTACAGCCAGTGGACAGTTGTAGTAAATACACACAATATCCAAAGATATCTCAGTTCCCACAGACCCTGCATGACCCTTAAAGGGATAATAACTCTTCGTATGAGACCTATATTTCACAATAGAAACCTTGTGAATAACTCATAGAAATATAATATATTCTGTTTTACCACAAAAACAGTAGTTATAGCTATTATTCTGATATCTGAGCTTGTCTTTAGACCACGTGACCTCCATTGATGGCTATACTCTGTTAAAATCTCTTAAGAGATTTTAACAAAAAACCAAACTTTTTAGAAAAAAACCAGGGACTAACTTTGAATGTAAAAATGGATTCATTAACCATTGGTAAGTATGGGAAAATTGTTGTTTACTCCAGGAAAATTCATTTTTTGGCCGAAACGAAGAGTTATTATTGCTTTAATGATGAGCCACTATGGGAATAAGAGATTTTGTTTTCAGGCAGTTTCAGACAAAATAAAAATCTTTCTCTTCTACCAACAGCAGTATTGCATCTGTAGCTTATAGGTTTTCCTTGTGGAAAATGTAATGACACAAATGGCCTTCCAGTTTGAAACATAGGTCATGTTTCTAGTTAAGTTGGATCTGCCCATCTTGGTACAGCCCACCCTAGATGTCCATCTGATGAAGATAAATTTGGAAATATGGAGCAGGACTGCTCGATATATAACAGGGCTGGAGGATGGAGTAACAGAGGGGCTGAGACAAGCTAAGTATGAGATAGTTATAAGGAGTTATTAGGGGAAGGGCTGTTGCTTTTGGTCAAAGTGAGATAGGGAGACTCAGCATGGCTGGGAACGCACCTTAAATTATCAGGAGACATAATTTGAGTATCCTAGACAGTTTCATTGCTGCATCTGAACCCAACAGCTGTGGAGGCTTAATAAGTAAACATTGATAAATTGTGCTTGTTTTTAATGACAGAATTTTGAGATAATTAGCAATAATGAGTCCCATATCTAAGGCTCTGTTCTCACAACTTTTAGATCGATCTATCACCGCGGGGAGTCTCACTAGATTACTGTCAGATAATCCCCCTTAAGTGTCCGTCCCCGCCTACTACAAGCTTTAAGGGGTAATTAACTTTCGTGTCCGCCCGGCTGACAGCTATTTAGCGTGAACCCCCAGGGAGTTAGGTCGATCCAATGTAGGTCGATCTAATCTATGAGAATGGGGTGTAAAAGTAACTGTCAGTTAAATATTCTAAAGGCATAAATCCTAATGAATATCACTTTTATTAATGGTTTTCTAAATAACTAGCTGATAAAAAAAGGAAGTGGCAAATTTACCATCCTCACACTAAGTGAAATTGTCGTATTGGATCATTTCAACTGATAAGATAGAGATCTATTGATAAGAAGAGTAAGTGATTATTTTGTCATTAAGTTCATTAGTGGCATTAGTATTTTGGTGCATTAGTACCACAGGTGATTGACAAATTACGCAGATTCTGTATCATTTGGCCTTTTTTTTAAATTAGATGTTAATGGCTGTATAATAGCCTCAACTGTGTTGTAAAGGAGACAAAGTCAAAAAATTGTGTAGTCTTATAATTTTGTTCAAATAACTGTTAATGATAAATTCCACTAATGGTTGATTTGTTTTAGAAATTACAGCATTTAGAGAATTTACCTTAATGATACTAAGTTTTTTTTTTCCTGATGCACTTTTAAAACAACCAAACAAAAGTTCACACAGCCCGAGGCATATTTACAAGACAAAAAGCTTTTTAACCTTTCTGAGGTGTTATTTTGATGACTACCGCAGCAAATCCATCTCCATGGGTTATATCTGCTGTCTGCTAGGATAGCTTGTAGCTGTCATGTTCACTTGGTTTAACTGTGATTTATTGATAAACCAGCCCTTGTAGCTCATTATGGGAAAATTATTTTTCTTTTTATCATGGTTTTTGTGTGTGAATACTCAAGCGTTGGTTGCTCGCTTAGAAGTGTCCATCTTCCAGTGACCAACATAGTTACCACATAAAAAGGGAGCTTCTCAAGTGACTTTGATAGTATGTAGAATGAACGTTGTTAAGAGGTAGAAGCAGATTCTCAGACAAGGATTCATAAGCTTTAAGGGGAAATATAGGAAAATAAAGAATTTTGGCTAACACAATATTTTATTTCAAATTGAGAGAAATGTATTAAAAATCAGATAAATTGTTCTTCACTTGCTTGAAATACACCCCCCCCCCCCCCCAAATATAAGTCCATGAAACTATTATTGACATTTGGAGAAATATGTACAGCAATATATTTGGACAGCTTAGCTAAAACATAGCCTTAGTGTATATAAAAGAATATTTTATATTATTAATTTTTTTGTTGAAGTTGGAAATATGAACAAAAAGTAGTATTTATAGAGTTTTCTCCCTGAATATAATGTGAAATGTTTCTAAATTCCACAAAGAACCACAGGTTTCCCAATTGACCATGCTGGTTAAAGAAATATATCCCTGCACATGTATCAGATATGTATGCATACTCCAAGGTATAATCACTGGTCAGCAGACATTCCAACATGGGAAAAACACATAGTGGAACATTATGTACATTCTTATCATTCTATTCATCTGTCTTTATGCATTTGTGAATTAATATATTTCTCTGAGAAGGAATAATGCAGGGGCTGAACTGTCTTGGATTTATATGAATTAGACGCAATTTGTTCTATTTTACAAAGAGCGAAGAGTTCTAGATATAAATTCAAGTGGCGGATTTTTCTTGATTGATAAAATGAGATATCTTGTCTGAAGGATTTGGGGTTTTCAACTGGTGTTAATCCTGCTTTAAGAGGGGGTGTTAATCTAATCAACAGAGCTTGTTTTAATGTGATAATGCAGGAAACGTATTTATTAATCAGTGGATGATCAAAGCAAAGAAGGATGGACTGTTGGATTTGGCTAAAAAAAATCTGTTTATCTGCTTAAAAATCTCGGATTCGGTTATCTTCTAATTTGCTGAAAATAAGTTCACAGAGAGATAAATCTATTAAAGCGAATCTTAAAGGAAAATATGCATTGAAATTGAAAGTTAGGAAGGTTAGGCTTAAGAGTTATGTCTTTATTAAAGAGCATTTTATATCAGAATGTGTTTAGGATTGAAAAAAAACAAGTGTTGTTAAAAGAGAAAGAATATTAAAATGTGACAGAAAAGGAGCTTCGTGATACATTAGTGCCTCACCTCTCTGTCAGTTCATGTGTTCTAGTACAATAAAGAAACAGTGTAGTGTACATTTATTCTGTAACGTTATCCCCCAACTTATGTTTCCAATGCTAAGAGGTTTAATGACATTTTTGTGGTTAAGAAATCAGGTGATATCTGGAGCCCTTTGTCACCGAGGAAGGCTGCGTTCAGGACGGTTTCAACAGAAATGGAACTTGTGTTTTAACTTCTTGGTGTAAGTACTTGATTGCAATCCATCCTAACAGTAGTATTATCCGTCATAATTTCTGAGTGAAGCTAAAAGAAATACATACTAGTTACAGTAGTAGGAGGTTCAGGGGGTGTGGGGTTGAATTAAAGTATCTATCATCTGTTGTTAAAATTGAAACGTTTTCTGTTAAAATTGGCCTGAACATTACCCAAGGACTGTGTGTTAGAGGAAGAATAAATGTGAATTCATCTCATTTACTGTCATTCAACTGTGCACTAGTACTCTTGTCCTTGTAGAGTTTTGTAGAGTCAAAACTGGTTTGAAGCAGTCAGATTTGTATCTGGAAGGAATCACACTTTTGTAGCTAGTTACATTTTTATTTATTAGCCAAAGTAGTCTTAAAAATTAATAAGACTGGGTTCCCATCCCTAGATTGATCTAACAGGATTGATCCATTTCCATGGGGTCCCTTGCTAAATTGCTTTCAACCCAAGCGGCTTAGACGTCTGGGACGCCTACTTAAGCTGTTAAACGATAGTTAATTGCCCCCTATCAGCCTCAGAGGTGTGACAGACATCTAGCCCAGGTTAATTGCAATTAAGCGAGAATCTCCTCCAGATAGTTCAATCCCAACTCCATAGTTGGTACGATTGTCTCTGGGAATGGTCTTCAATGGTGGTGTGAGGAGGTATGATGTGGAAGATGGCTTCTCTCACCTGTGGAATGCAGAGTTCACCTGTAGATATGACAATGATGAATGAGGAGATGACACCATACTTCTCTCTACACTGTGCAGTGGAAGACGATTCTCTATATGACACGATACAGAGATATTACTACTACGCTGATGATGTAACTGGTGGGGTTTGAAGTCGCATTTACAAATCGGCCTGACCTGGTGTATTTATCACCTGTAGTTAATTTAACTTAATCATCTGGGTCACAGACAAGAGTTGGAATATATTCAGTGGAAATTTGCCTCATATCAGGGTGACATAGCATAAGGCCTTGATTGTTCTGCTGAGGATGTGATTTTGGGAGGTCTGAGATGGTCCCTTTTGGACATGCAAGGCCAGTTTCCAGAGGAGATCGATCGGTCAGCCTTCTATATCATATTATTAATAGCACTTAAAAAGTCCTCCCCCATTTCATTATGCAAAATAGTATGGAAGAAAAAAGACACAGTACATGAAAGATATTTGCTTTTGTAAAATAAAAAAAGAAATGTCTACTGTGCCAATCTCTTTTAAGTGTAGCAGAGACCTGGCTAGATACCAATGTATTTAGCTTATATCCAGTGTCAGCTTGCCTGCTATGTGGAGAATACGAGGAATGAGCACCAACGCCCTGATATACCTACATTCCTACGGAGCTGTTATTTACATTGCTCACTTAGGAACATAACAGACATGGTTCTCTTAGGGCTGTTATGCCTTGTAGATTTACACACAAGTTTATTGAGCATTGTTAGTCATGTAGTTGATATAATATACAGTATGTATTATCTATATGAACAGGTATGAATATATTTTATAAATGTGGTAAAACCAATTGAGATAAAATTTGTTGTTATGACTCAGTTCTCTCTGTCTCTTACACACACACACACACACACACACACACGTGAAAGCCGATATCCTCACGCATGCATGCACGCACATGTTTGCAAGGAGACAGAGATTCATGCAGAGACACAAACATTTGCTCAAGCACTCATGCAGCCCCGGGTGTACACACACAAATGTATGATTAGTATTGATACAGCTTTGTATATATATGATACTGACTGTCAGTCCTTGAGAGCTTATTCCCAATGAAACTATCGTATTATGTAGGTCAGTCCAACTCCCAGGGGACTCTCGCTGAATGTAATCAGATGAGCAGATTAACGCACTATTTCTTGTTTACAATGCACCCATGTAATCACCAGCTTCTCTGTATTCTTTCTGTGTATTGAACAATAGTTTTATTAGAAATGAGTCCTTCAGCATCTTATCACTATGATCATCCTATAATCTGAGGATCATCCTAAGACTATGATGAGATTATCAGATATATCTGATGGACACACACTGACAGGAAGCAGACACTAGCATGATATGTTGATAATGTGACTTCAAGGACACTTGTGTAGCCAGTTTCCTGGTTCATTATTATCTCATTACCCCTCCCTCCCCCCCCCCTTCCATAAAAAAATCCCATCAGTAGAAATCAATTTTACTTAATGTTGGTGCCAGTAATAACATTGGCTGCAGTATGGATGCATTTGGACTACAGCCTAAAACTGATTCTAAAATTGATTACTGATGTGATAAAGATACTGTGCATGTTGGCAGTTAAGATGTTGATATCATAACCTCTCTCCTCCATAACACAAAATACTAGAAACCAGTCAGATAAATTAGCAGTGTTGTGTCCCATATGACTTTGTGGTCACGTGTGTAATGATTTCCATTTTCAATTAGTTGCATGTAATGAAGTATTTTACACTTCATCAATATCACTGATTTGTGGTAATATGCTGTGATATCCCTAGACCCAGGAAAATTTGATTAATATCGGCTGGGAGAGAGAGAGCAAGTAGAACTAGTAATTCAATTATTGCTGATTATTGCAGACTGAAAATACTGTGCTTTCTTTCTTTGATATAAAATTTTGGTCATTTGTGACTTTTTTCAAGGTGATATCTTTAGATGTTAGAAAATGTGATTTTCGTAAGAATAATATCTATATAAGAGTGAAATTTACATGGTTTTATGGTTGTAAAAGGAAAAATGGCATTTGATAATGTGAATGGCAATTCTGCTCATCCATTTCAGCAACTTATCGGAAAGAGAACCCATCAGCTTTCCATTATGCAATTGTGATCAAATAAATTATCTATATCTAAAAATGTTTATTTTCATCTTTCCAGTTTGAAGCAGAGTTCAGGAGATTTTCCATAAACCGAGAGTCTTCCACACAATTTGAGGCGTTCCAGAAGCTGCTCGGGGAGCTCCATTTCCTACAAGACATTCCATTTCTCGTCTGCTACACAGACCCAAAAGACCAGGAACTTTTACCTATAAATAATGATGAAAATTTTGTTAAAGCAGTGTCCACAGCTAAACCTATTTTAAAACTCCACATTCAGAAAAAAGGTAAGTCGCCTGGAATCCCAGGAAACCTCAAATGTTCTGGATCCTTGAGGATGCTTGTATTATTATTCTGTGGTTGGGGCATTAATGATATTAATGCATGTAAATTGTATATCTACAGCCTGGACAACTTTTCACTTTATTTATCACAGGTAAATGATTAGCCAGTGTGAGTGCATTTCTCCTCTGGTTAGTGTATAATTGACAGACCCTCTCACCAACTACTACCTCTTCTTTAAGCATTGGCCTAGGCCTACCTGCAGGGCTTTCCCCAGGGTTTGGGGTACAGTAGTCCAGAACCAAATGATTTGGAGGGGCCATTTACAAATAGTCCAATACAAGCAAGCCCAAACAACCAACCCAAAAATTTAGTCAATTGTTAAGAAATAATTGGATGTAAGGGCATCTTTGAGGCTAATGGCTGTCAAAATGATGACTGGACTACTCTGAAGGAAAACCCTTGCCTACTAGTACTTGGGTCACATTCAGAACAGCAGACTATATAATACTTGGATCAAATATGGCCGACCTGCTTGAATGCTTGTTACATAATCCATGCATGAAATCTATTCAGTGTCTATAAGTGGATTAGACTGCAAGCTTTTTAGTGTGTTGCCATATTTGAGGCATGGACTAGTTAATCCACTGTTCTGTATGGGGCCTTACTGGGACTTACTATACTAGCAGTAGGCTGATATTTGTGAGCATCAAGTACTGGTACCAGATACAGGTGATGGTTGGTTGATCAAGTGGGACACTGGATAGGTCAGTGATGTCAACTCAACAGTCAACAGATCTACAAGGAAACTTGTATCTCAAAAAGCAATTTTGAAGTTAAAAGGTCCCTGACTGTCACTCATGACTAGATTATCATTACTTCATGGTCTAGATGGATACAGTGGGGTTTCTTTTAATTTTTTGATCTTAAAACACAAAAAAATTGAAATGCCCCTCAGAAATTCAGTACTAAGTAATATGCTTGGTTGTCTGAATGATTTGTTGGTCCATAATAGTTTTGACCCAATGTAACTTCAAAGTTGACTGAAGAGAGCTATAAAGACCAAGTGTACCATTATTATCTCTCTCTCCATTCTGACAAGGGAGATGAAAAGGTGTGATAAGAACCCCACAGCCTGAATACAGGTTTTCTTCTCCCAGTTCAGGGGGGACAATGGCTACCTCAGAAGATGAGTCGGCAAAATTGAACCCCCCTTTGATATGTAATGACATGGTACGAAGTGGCAGGCTGGGATGACCTGTGTTGTGAAGAGCTCAGCTGTGAGAGATGATTATATCAAGACTGAGCTTAGGCTAAATTATATAGTATAGGAGTATTTTTGAAAGGTTATGAAGTGTTTAACATGCCAAGAATTAAGGGAGGGTTCTCATGATGTTAAAGTTTCTCAGTGAACCTCCTCAGAAGAGGAAAAGAACATTAAAATTATATTTTCCAGAAATGCATTGAAGCCACAAAATTTGTCTTTTTCCAATTGTTAAAAGAACTAAATAAAATTGGCAACAGATGAAACAAAAAATTCGATGCCAGTTGTTGACAAGGGTTAGGTGCTCCACCTGGTGGTAAACAACAGATGTAAGATGATAACTGTCACAGGGACTTTTGTGGTTCTGGTACAGCCCCCCCCCCCCCCCCCCCCTCCCCTCTCTCTCCCTCCCCCCCCCCGGGGGGGTGGGGGGGGGGGGG